GNTTTTTTTTTTCATTGTTAAAGAATCAAGAAAAGATATTTATCATAAATTTTTAAAACTTTATGATTGATGCAAAAATTTGGACAATAAAAGCGTTTGAAATCATTGGATCAACCAAGCTGCTCAATAATTTGCAACCAACATATTATATAGTTCGTCTATCTTCAAAATAAATAACATTGAAAAAGAAATGTCGGAGCATGATAAAAATATTTTTGAATTTTTGAATGAAGTTATTATATTTTGATAGAAATATCTACAATTTTATTGGAGTATTGTGCTCGAACATATGTGCAAGTACTCCAGAGTATATACTTTCATTTAATGTATGATGATTTCAAAAAATAATTTAGTCTTCATGTAATGTGTGATGATTTAAAAAAATAATTTAGCGTCTCGGGAGAAGTATATGTAACCAATATTTTGAAAGGTCAACTTTTATTTGGAAATAAAACTCATTCTCACCCCATGGGAGAGGTATCAATCTGTCTATATGGAGAGAGAATAATGTAGTAGTTTAAAAAAAAAATAATATCAGCAATTTTAGTGACACGGTTGATTATTTCACAGAGATATTCATTAATTGTTATTAGCAATACTTTATAAAGATCATAATCATAGGATTTGACTATATATTTGGACAAAATATTTTGCATTGTTTGAATAAAGTAGACTTTTTGCCTAATGACTTAAGAAGAAATTGCCTATTGATGTATAGAATTCGAATCGGTATGAATGTTTTTATTATGAGAACGTCAAAACTAAAATGAAAGAAAATCACTCTTGAATAATCAAACATAAATAAAAAAAAAAGAACTAATGCATTTATAATATACATTGTCTTTATTTAGTTATTTAGTGTCTTTTTTTTAAAAAAAATATGGATTCATTTTTCATGTATTTTTGCCGGGGTTGTAATATGTTATTTTATTTTTTTTATATTAGTACATCGTTATGTCATATTTGGACAAAAAAATACATTAGGAGCTAGCTTATTTGTTCTATATTTTATTTTGTTCCTGCAATGATATGTTTAATAAATTAATTAATTTATTTTACTAAACTTAATCGGCAAAAAAAACATTCGGCGCCACGTGCGATGCACGTGCACTTTACTAGTACATCAAAATAGAAATATATATTACACATATACAACTATGGTCCTTTCTTTTATAGTTGATGCAGATTGTTATGATGATAAGTTTGCAGGACTATATGGTTGGAAAGGTTATGGTGCCTACCTTAATTTCTCCATTAAATTATGTTATTGAGCCCTAGCAATAAAAATAGTAACTCGTACAAAGAGATGATGGAGAGTAGCAAGTTTTGCCTGTGCCCGAGTGGGTACGAGGTGGCAAGCCCGAGGGTTCCAGAGGCCATATATGCAGAGTGCGTGCCTGTCTTGGTATCCGAGAACTACATTTTGCCATTTAGCAACGTGCTGGATTGGGACCGATTTTCGGTTACGGTTTCAGTGGACGAGCTGCCGAATTTGAAGAGGATCTTAACGAGGATAGGGGAAGATGAGTACGAGGCTTTGCATCGTGGGGTGAAGCAAGTGCAACGACATTTCTTGGTGAATGATCCGCCTAAGAGATATGATGTGTTCCATATGATGCTTCACTCTCTATGGTTGAGGAGGTTGAATCTTAGGATAAATGCTTGATTTTTTAACACAATCGCTTTTGTCAACGGTTTTATGAATGTTGTAACGAAAGAATCAAAATTTAGCAAGTCTCTTTGTGGTGTAGCGAACATCCTTTTGTGGTGGTGGTGCTGTTTTTCATGGCAACAAATCAATCAAGACATAAATGGGTACACTATCATCAGCTGCAGAATTTTCATATCTTGTATGATTTGACAAGAAATACAGGGGATAACAAAGGAAATACCTGATATTTAGTCCATCCATATCCATTGCATAAATAAATAAATAATATACCAATAACAAAATGGTTATAGTGAATAACAGAATTACAACAAGAACATCATGTTCTCATCCGAAAACAGATGGGTATAATCCCAATTCACCAGACAGACTCATAAACAGAGTAAACCAACATAACCTCTCTTAACCTCATGCTAAACAAAAGGGTATATATCCAACCTCGGAAAATGGTTAATTGAGTGTGCACCTATTTTAGCTGTTTACCACCTTTTTCCTGCCCTTTGCATGCTTCTTTGACTTGCTTCTCTTCCACTTGTCCACCCCAGCAGGCCGGTTTGCCTCTTCAATCTCTCGAACCTTGCGTTTTCTGCATAAAAGAATGTGTAAGGAAACAACTATTCAAATTAAAAATAAAAATCAGAGGTCCAAAAAGCATGATGCCATGACTAGCTGCATGTATTTTAACACTGCTACAACATTAAAAAGAGTTACAGTTGATCACAAAAAGTAACCTTGTGCAGAACCACAAAAAAATAACAACCCAAAAAATAAAGATTTTTTTTATTTTTGTTTGGTCAAAGATGACTCCCTTCATATGAAATAACATTTCACCCCTCTCACATTCTTACATTACATTACAGTTAGCCGTAGGTTTGACAGCAAACTAAAACTCAGGAGTATCCTCTATAATTTTGGAGACAGCTAGTATTTTTCTGTAAGTAGTTCAACTTTGGGAGCAATTTTTGTAATTCTCGCAAAAGATTAAAAAGAATTCCTCATTCTGAAACCACACTAGGCCGGGTAGGGATTCAGTCTTATAATTACTCTTCAATGAATCAAGGACAAGCATTGTTCACTTTCTAGAAAATACTAGACAGAAACACACCTATAATCACCAAGGGTACTATCAGCAAGCAGCTCATCAGCAAGGGTTGCCTTTCTCTCCTTTTTAGTAAGTCTGCCAGTGAAGAACTCTGTTGCAGACTCTATCACAGTGCCCACCTGATAAATAAGCAAATGAGTCTCCAGCATTCAACTCCTAAAGTAGCCGAACTCAGTTAAAAAAGTTTTACTGTTAGAAATCACATTTAGAGACTTGCCTGGAAATACTTGGGCAGTGTCTTGGATTTAGAATCACCCTTCTTATAGTGCCTCTTCGGATCTAGGGCACCCCTCAACTGCCAAGATCAAAACTTCACATTACGCGTAGAGAAATATTATTATTCCAATTTAATGACAATAGACACGAGAGGCAGGAACTCAGGTACACACTACTCAGGTAAATCTTGCCGTCTGCAGTCTACTTATAACAATATAAATAGTAATTTAATTTTCTGTCACCAAATTATGATAATGCCAATTACAAGTTATAGATCATACATTCGATCTGCTCAGACAGTGTTGTCCTGTGCTCTATCCAAGACGCATTCACTAGATATCAGCATGTTTTTACACTCACTCTTTCTCTCACACAGAGAGAAAATTTTACATGCAGTGATCCTAATGCTATCAATGCTCTGAAATTCAACTATTCAAGCAACCTTACAATGCTAAATAACAGTGCATTTACACAAATGAATTAATAAACTGTGAAAATGGAAATTTGCACAAGGAATCAATCAATTAACTGCACCTTCAAATCTTTAAAAGGAAAAGGAAAAAGGAAGGAAAAAACAGCACCTTCAGAAGCTGTAGATCTTTTTTCAACTCCGGTGTCATGGTTTGAGCAGGCATATCAAACCTATCAAAAATACAACACCAAATACACATCACTAGGTCAACAATTCCCTCCGTAAAAACATAAAAGTCAATGATGAGATGAAAACTGCAGAGGGACAAAGAACTTAAGTACCAATTTTTTCCAGCAGTGTCCTTGACTTGTTTCTTGATCAGTTTGTTTAACTTTCTGGGGTCATTGGGAGGAAGAAAAAGACCATCGACGAGCTCAGAATTGGGTTTGTACAGAGCACTGATTTCAGTTTCAGGGCATTTTTCCTTTCCGGTGGATGAAAACACAGCCAAATTAGGTTCCCATGAAAGCCCAACCACAGTCTTGTTTCCTGACATCTAAAACAAACAAGGCTTGCATTAGCTATCACTTTCAAGAGCTCAATTTAGTTATACCTTATCCAAATCTTAGTATTTTCAGTGTCCTTCAAGCACGGGGATGGCAATGGGGCAGGTTGGGCCGGGTAGTTCAGTACCCGGACCTGCCCCGCGACCCTCCGCCCGCGCCCGACCTGGCCCGTGACCTGCCACGGGTCCAGGAAGGCCGCCCCACCTGGCCCGCCCGTTTGTTTGCCTGCAACATGGGCCTTGCTGGGGGCGAGCCTACAACATGTTTCCAGGTTTAGGATAAAAGGCACCGAGCATAGAGAGTTCAGTCTTCATAAGCCCCCTCAAAATGAAACCCCAAGAACTGGATATTGCCTCAATCAAACTCAGTGTATTACCTCAATTAAAGTTTCACAGTTCAAAGAATAAACAACAGTGTACAAATTGAACAACCAAATCAAACATTCATTGTTACCTACCAATAATAAGTTTATCTTCAATTGTAAACACAGAGAAAAATGAATTTATCTTCAATTGTAATTACCTTCCAAATCTGCAAAGTGGAGTCGGCGTCGAGCTCGAGTCGGCGGGGGACGCGGAGCGTCGAGGCGGTGATGCGTCGGAAACGGCGAGGCGTCGGACCGGTGTCTCGAAGACGGGGAGGCGCGAGGCGTGTCGAGGAGGACGGTTGCTGGTGCGGACGTGCGGCGTGTCGAAGAAAAAAAACCCCAACATTTAGTTAATTACTACTACCTCCTTTTTTTTATAAATGTCATTGTGACTTTATCAACAATTGACTGAATAAATGACGTTTTTGATCTTTTGTACATAATTTTCCATTATTACCTAATAAATACACTACGTCTTTTCGTATTCACTCTTCATCTTTTCTCAAAACATCTCTCTATCCTCATTAATGAGGGTTATTATTGGCAAAAAAAATATTCTTAATTACTGTACGACTTTTCAAAACGACATTTATTAAAAAAAGGATGGAGTATTATACGACTATCCATTTGCACAAATGTAAATAAAATTAAATATTATAGATTATCTTAGGCATATAATATTAAAATTATATATTAAATAATAATATTATATTTCAAACATTAATATTACAAACTTATATTTATGCATATAGTATTCAAATTTTAAATTAGATAATAGCATTATATTTTAAAATTTGATTATTAGTTAAAATGTATAGTATATACGATTTGATTGCATACGAATCACTATATTGATTGAATAAAATGTAATAAATATATAATTTTGTAACATGATAACCAATTAATTAGCTGAAAAATGTTAAATTTATTACAACAATTGCTTATGTAAGTTTAAGAAATTTTACTATGACATAAAATAAATAATTTATTTAAAAAACAATTGGTTAATCATATAAAAAAAAATATAATATTGATTTTAGTGTAAAATATAATCTTATATAACTTTTTACTGTAAAATATAATTACTAATTTTAATATTAACTATTATATAATTTAATAAAAATTATTATTAACTATCGCCGGAAAATGATGTCATAGAGCTCCCAAGAGAGAAGAGCCGGGTGTTCTACCAAAGTCTCCGGCGACACATACGCTCAACGGCTTTCTGGAAGTGAGGAGGTCGATCCCGATGAGAGAAGGGAGAAAAGCTTATCCCACATTCAACTTCATGACGTGACAAAGAAAAGAGTTACTTCCCCTGCTCTTGACCAAGTATAGTTGTTTAACTAAAGCATTTTCCTATGATTAATTCAATGAGAAATTCTTTGTTGGCCAATTTGCCATTAGCTACGGAATACCTAAAAATCAATCTCTTTCGCTAGCACGATGGAAGGAAGCAGCTAGTGAAGGGGTATGCGGTGCTTTTGGTCTACCGTCCCGCTTTACCCAAAAGAATAAGACTCCGAAGCTACACGAGCGAGCCCCTCTCAGCGCACTGCACTCAAATTGAAGCTTATTTCAGTAGGTAAAGGCACTAGAGCCTAAAGTTTATGAAAACCCCACCTTCCACAGGCCAACTTCATCCCGGATAAGACCTCCAGGTTGACCGAGCGACGTTGCTCTAACCAGCTGATCTACCTGATGAAGAGCGAAGACTGAGCGAGCTTCTCTTAGCACTGAGGACTGATGTGACGGAACACACCGAAGCTTTAGCAACTGGACCGGGCGAAACTTGTCTTTTAACAGTAGGAAGACTTCCTGCTTCGAAGCTCTGAACTGATCGAAGCTACTGAAGCTCAGTCCGGGCTTTTCTTTTCACAGTAGAGTTTGTTTAGCTGCACCGGCTACGAAGCTTACTGAACAAACCGAAGACTGGACCGGGCTGGTATGCTTGATGTTAGCTATAGGTCTTTTCGTTGCTCTGTCTTTATGCGCTTGGATGGGGGCTGTGCGTCCAATTGTCCCTCCAAAATCGAACAGTAGCTCCATCGCCAATGGACCACCGCACCCCACGCCGCACAGACAGCCAAACCTTTTTAATGGCTTGGATAATAGCGGACCCTCTGGGAAAGACAAAATCCTCGTGAATAGTCATCGGTTCTACTTGTCCATAGACATTCTAATCTATGGTTTTTATTCTATAGTATTCTACTATGAAACGATTTTTTTGAAAAAGTCTTGGCAAGAGAACATCTTTACCATACATTAGTATATAGGAATATTACTAGAGTATATAGGAATATTCCTAGTAATAATCAAAAATCTCAGAATAGAATAAAGTGGAAAGGCATTTTGCCTTGTTAATTCAACAAATAAACTTAAGGAAAAAGATCTAGCAACGTTGCAAGATACTCGGCCGACTTGGACAGGAAAGCTCGGTCTTCGTAGACGGTGTAGCTAAACGGACAAGGCCCTAGCGGCCAGAGATGACGTCTATTGAAGTGCTTGTAGGGAGTCCAACTCAAGAAGCTTGAGCTGGGAAATTGGATCAAAGCTTGAATATCATATAGAAGTATTTCATAAATGTTCACAGGATTGATTCTCTTAAGAGAGAATTTTTGAGTATAGATTCTTGTATGTATGATGTGTGTGGCTATTAGTTTAGGGCGAGAAGTCTGATTCAGTAAGGAAGATGAAGTCGTTTACCTGCAAGTTTTGATTCTTTTGTTAGTTGACTCTTGCTATTCTATTTGTGATTGGGATCAACTACACAACTTTCTTCGCGGTACACGGGAGATGAACCAATCTTCAACATAGAATGTGCAATCGCAGACAATTGTGATATTTTAAGAGTAGGAGCTCGATGATGTGTATATCTCGAGTATGGTTAGGGCAGTTTAGCCATTCACTGGATTATCAAACAAGTCTATTTGGTTTAATGAACAATAGCTTATTTGATATAGTCCCTCTCGAGTATGGTTAGGGCAGTTTAGCCATTCGCTGGATTATCAAACAAGTCTATTTGGTTTAATGAACAATAGCTTATTTGATATAGGGGGACTAGATGATATAACATGTAGTCATAGCCCGGTGAACCAGTGATAATTAGCTCGGTTCAATAAGAGTGAATGGAGCTCGGTCAAATAAGGCTAATGGTAGTTTGGCCCGATGAAGTTGATACGAGCTCGGTCAGATGAGGCTCGGTCCAATGAAGTTGATAGGAGCTCGGCCCAACAAAGACTATTAGCAGCTCGGCTCAATGAAGTTGATAGGAGCTCGGCCCAATGAAGTTGATAGGAGCTCGGCCTTATGAAGTTGATAGGAGCTCGGCCCAACAAAGATTATTGGCGGCTCGGCACTACAGGAACAGTAGCAGCTTGGCACGGAGAATATAGGTAGGGTTTAGAAGGAGCTCGTCATGACAGGTAAAAATCAAGCTGATATTGTAATTACAAAAAGTAATCTAGGGGGACACGTGTACCGTCGGGATCAAAATAGAATAAGTGATCTGACGGGCGAAGAGCAAAGCGTATGGAACAAGCTAATAACTTCATATAAATAGGTAAATCATTGGATGAGGTAAGGTTAATCAATCTACACACCTTAAATTCTATACACAGCTTTCCTCTATCTTCTTTGATCTCATACTGACATGAGCGTCGGATGTTTACCGCCGGGAACACCTCCCGGCGTCTTTGCAGGTCTCTGAGCGGTCAGGGAGCAGAGGGAAGCCGGTTCAAGTGCAGGAGCACATCACCGCCAGATAACGTGAGTAATGGGTGGCCGTGGCTTGGTGGAAGGAAGACCAGCCAGTGTAGATGGATTTGCCATTAGAACTGAGCGAGTTCACTCAGACGGGTTTGAGTTAAAGAGTGTTTTTTAATCTGGAAAACTCAGAAGAATTTCTACTTTATAAGGTCTTGTTGGAGATTAAAAAAACAAAAGAAAAAGAAAATATTTAAATGATTTTCAACTAGATATAGATTATTTTAGAGAAAAAAAAAATTGATAGTCAAAGTGACAAAGGATTAAAGTAATAAATTTTTTAAAGTTTATGAATAGATACGAAATAAAAGTTAAGAAAAATAAATGTGATATAAAATATTAAATACTAATTATAGAAGATTTGAGAGTAAATTTATTGGAAAAATGAGTCAGTATTGATTTGATTTATATTTTCATATTATGTTGATAAGATTGAGAAGAAGAAAAATAAAAATAGAATGAATACAAATTCTTTTTTAATAATAATTATATTCAATCACAATTTTTTTTTTTAAATATATGTACAAGGAAACAAAATTGGATAATTTTTATCAAATTGCACCAAAAGTGATTTTAAGCCCTTCTTCTCCTTAATTAGATCTACTTCTTTTATTTATTTATTTTTTTCATTTTTGTTTGTAGAGTATTATTATTAGCACAATAATGTTATTAGCAAAATATTTTAGTCCAAAATAATAATTCATATACATGACAAAAATATAATTTGCTTTTGTTACACTTTTAATGGACTTTTTCCAATATTGTACTATCCCCTATCATTTCATATCATTATTCATTATAGTAAAAATCTAAACCCAAGCCCAACACTAAGAAAGAATTTATATCATTAACCTTACATGCTCCAAGCCTCCAACCTGCTCAAAATTGCATGCAAATAGAAACCAAAGTTCATCATACATTTTTCTGTTTATAATTAATTGTCAGCAACCAAAGAAAAAGAATAAAAAATAATTCATAAAACACATTACAACATAAATGAATCCAAGACAGGGAAACCCAAAGAAAAAAGAAAGTAAATTGGGTTGCACTCATTAAAGTTTGAGTTTGACTCAAACAACATGAGCTCGAGTTTGTTGGAAGTTCGATTAGTTAACAAGTGAGACTAGGTTCATCTCGTTAAAGCTTTAAAATTATAATTTTTTTCATACTTTTCTTTAGTTCGACTCGTTAAGGCTCAAATTTGACTCGTAAATATCGATAAATAACAGAATTCGAGCTCGATTACTGATACTTTTAGTTAATTAGTCGGTTACTTGTTTACACCCCTAAATCAGCTCTTTGTGGGCTCGATTCGACTTGGCTTGCCTCGACTAATTATTAAGGCTCGAGTTTCAAATGTGCTGAACTAAAGTTCAAGCTGTTTATCGTCTCATTTGGTTAAAGAGTCGAGTTAGATATTAGGATCTCGAACTCTAGACAACTGAGATATAGAAAATTATATATTTCGAGCTTTAACAAGAGCGTGACTCGTTTATCAAACAAGTGATCAAACTGAATTAAAGCATTAAGGAGACCAAACGAGCTCACGAGCCACTTGTTTCATTTAACAATTCGAGTTGA